TTTGTAGATGATTACATGAAGTGATTAGCTAAATTGGGTAGTTTATTCACAGTGTGTGCTCTGTGTGTAGATGGAAATCACACTTTGCTGTGGTGTAWGACATGTATGTCTGGCAGCTGAAGAAGATGGTGATGAAGTATGTGAGAATTAATATCCATCCTATTTGGAATCAATCATTTCCACATTTCACAGGATGGCTAAGACTTGGGGATGTTTCAAATTCACATCTCTTGCCGACCAACCTCTGTGCTCTCACTTTTCCCTGTTTCTGGGGGATCTGTTTATGTCTTTGACACCTCCATTGTTCCCATACCTGTTTTATCCCACATAACTTTTGTCACCCWCTTCMCTTCCTTAAATCCATTTCCAGGCTYCATTCCCTGGAGCAATTTCCACTGAGTGACACCATATGGGCCATCAAAAGTCTTCTCAAATCACAATTCAGTATGTCCTGTACATGGATCTGCCAGGCTCTGCATGGTTCCATCTGCCAATCCCCAGGACCTGTGTAACTTGAAGGAGAGGATTCCAGCTGGTCTGTGGACAGTGTCTTTTGCTAGCCATGAAAGCACTCAAGAATTGGACTTTGAGATTTTAACTTAGTTTCATTTTTTCCTTTTTTTACCCAGTAGAGCTAAGGTACTCAATGTAACAGGAGAGAATTTTAATTAGGACTTTCAGAAAACTTTCTCAAATTGTTTGTGATGCTTTTCCTGGAAGGCCTCAAAGTGGTGTGGAAGAGGACTCACGTGATGACAGTGGTTCYGAAATGCACGCAGCTTCAGGGGGCACAGAAGTGCCTGCAGAAGCCCTGCCTACACGGCTTGGTCCTCAGGGAATTTGGGACATTTCACCAGTTCTACAACAAATTCAAGATATTTACTTCAGATTTTTCACTGGCCCTCAAGATGGGAGGATCTGGCTGAACCTGTTCTCTGGTAGTTGTAGAGTGTAAAGAGAAGGGAGTGGAGGAGAGCTTCCGAAATATTCCAGGAATGGGGTATCCTGGGGAGATACCCATAGAACTGGGATTGTTCAGCCTGGAAAAAAGGCTTAGGGGTGACCTAATTACAGCCTTCCAGCACCTGAAGGGAGCTTAAAAGAAACACAGAGAGAGACTATTGACAAGAGCATGTAGTGACAGGACAAAGGGGAATGGCTTCAAACAGAAAGAGAGCAGGTTTAAATTAGATACTGTTCAGAAATTCTTTACTGTGAGGGTGGTGAGGCACTAACRCGGGCTGCCAGAGAAGCTGTGTGGATGCYCCATCCCTGGAAGTGTTCAAGGCCAGGTTGAACAGGGCTTTGAGCAAACTGGGATAGTAAAAGGTGTCTGCTCACAGCAGGGTGGTTGAAATGAGGTGATCTTTAAGGTCCCTTTGAACTTCAGCCATTCTGTGATTTCCTCAGGCTTCATCCTCCTTTGAGAAGTCATCTCTCTTCTCTGAACTCTTGCTCTCCTTTTCTGCCACTTGCAGAAATTTGCTGTTTCTTTCCAAGAGTAAAGCCTTGTTTACACTTTGCCTCTGCAGGAAAACCAAAACAAATTCACTGGATTACCTGTATATTTTGTATGGATACTTGATTGAAAATTGAAATGGCTCTAACTCATTTTGGAAGTAAATGTATGTATGTATGCTRCGCAAGTTCTAAGGAAGTGTGGCTGTCTCTGGATTTGATCCTGTTTACGTTGAGCATATCCAAAATTTAATTCAGAAGGAGCTTTGCCTGTGAGGGGTCATAGGATTGATTTCTTGTCAGCCCAGCTAATGCAAGCCTCTATCGAAACGTTGCTGCTGCAGCCGCTCCTGTGCGGAATCAGAACCCCCTTTCCCCGTGGCCAGCGTTTCCTCGAGCAGCTCTGAACTTGCTGATTTATTCACTTRTTTTGTCAGAACCCCTGGGAGCTGCAGATTGAGTGGCGATCTGCTCCCGACCTTTCATGAGCTG